CATATTAATCATGCTGTAAAGTTTAAATGATGAGACTTTGTGTCATCCAGTACATCAAGGAAGCCAATTGATGCATCAAAGGCGCTTCCACCCCAGGCAACTTTTCGAGGGCCATACATAAACACTGGTTCGCGTGATGTTGGACCAGATCATCCGACCTACCCAAAGAAATGATTCTTTGTCATTGAATAGGCAGTTGTTGCAGTAAGTGAGCTCATTCTCCTTTGTGTACTTTCTGAATTAAACACACTTGATTTTCGTTAGTCCTTGGGACTGATGGAAATGTCTATGAAGGCTGAGTTAGAATCTTTGCTTGGTTTTGCCAGAGCTAGATGAGCAATGCTTGCAAATTATACTCTCTTAAAAGGGACAACTAGATGAGCATTGCTTGCGAATTTCACTCTCTTAAAAGGGACAAGTGGATATGATAATGTTGTTTTGTAACAACTTCAGTGACAATACATGACATTTGACTGTCAGTATGTTCCTGTTTGTTGGAGTCTAATAACCCTATTGAACTAAGTTTCCTACATCTATGTTGCTGGCCTAAAAAGAAAAAAAATACATGTTTCTTAGTCTTACCACGACCTAATAACCCTTGACAATCAGTCATTAAGGTCTTATAATTAGTGGGTACTGGGTATCAATTCAACAAAACTCTTGCTTGTTATTTGCTTAATAGTTTTGCAATATAGGGTAAACTTCAACAAGTAATCAACAAGTGAGCCATTAACCATAACGATCCAATACTATTGAGTAACTCGTGGAAGTGGTACACTCCTTCCAGTGCACTTCGAGTCGAATTATCTCTCAAGATCCACTTGGCTCTGGTCTTCCTGTAAGTAAGGTGAATTGCACAAATAAACCAAATTAATGAAACTTATTAGTAAGTGATTAAATCAGAACAGAATGATATGAATACAAGAGATTGCTTAGTAATTAAATATGAAATATTCCCTAAAAACTGATTGATAGCTCCAGCCTCCATGATTTGATTCCTGGCACCCAAAAAGAAGAGAAAAGGTAATGAAAATTAGTCAAGAACTAAGGGAACAACTTAATTCATCAAAATCAAATTAAAAATTAACAAAATATAAAACTTTATCATTCAACTCTTCATATGTTTGCAAATTAACTTGAGCAACATTCACATGCAGTTATTGTCCTCCTCCCTTTTTCACTTCACCCACTTAAGTGGCCTGAAAAAAGGTTATACCTCACCCTTTAAAATCACATGGGCAGAGCACTTAGAGCATTTTCCAATGATATAAAATGTGCAAATAACGAGACCCACAACCCCGAACACAATCTTGACTGAATTAGCACCCTAACATACACAAACTTTCACAAAGTTAACCCCTAGTTTTCTGGTTGTTTCCATATAAGCAGAACTTGAGTTAGTAAAGAAAATACTTGAGAATCTTTGAATTCATAAAATCCAACCTAAATCTTGTTCCCTTTTGGTGGAAAAAAAAAAAACAAATTAAATAAATAAATCATACCATTAGTAAACTAGAGAAAGATCATACCGTGAAACCATACAAAACCCAAAGCTTCTATCATGTTAATGCAGAGAGTTCAAAAAAAAGGTACCTACCTAGAAGCTTGATGAAGAAATCTGATCCAAGTGAAATTTCTCTGAAACACCCTTCAATTGTCTTCTTTAATCCCCTGAAACTGAAATCATCAACAGCGACACTTGAAAAAGAATATCTCTTTTCGCTCAAAAAGAAAACAAAAAACAAAAGGAGATTTCTGCTTTGATTTGGGGAATGTTAAAACTCTAATCGGTCAAACAGCAAATTTACAATGTGTGAATTTGTGAATCGGTCTGAAAATTAAAAACCCTAATCTATCAAAGGTATCTGATTATCTGCATTAACTTCCAAAATACGACACTCCAAAATTATAGGGCAGGTACTTACTTACTTTTAGCTTTTTTCGTTAATAAATTTATAGGTTTTAATCTCTTATCTTATATTACTACACTTTTAATTCCTCATTTATACGAATTGAAGAAAATAATTTTTATTTAATGTCCTATTAGCTGACTGTTAGCATTTTGTTATAAAAAATATGAAATTTAAATTTAATTTTATTTGTTAGTTTCAGAATACTAACAGTCAGTTAATAGAATTAATAGTCAATTAATAAAATTAATAATCAACTAATAGAATTAACAAAACGTTATAACTTAACGTTAAGTAAATGTTATTTTTTTTAATTCATATAAATAAAAAGTTAAAAGTATCATAGTACAGTATGAAGTAAGGGGTCAAACCAACGACCTGTTGGTCTGAGTGGAAGGAGCTCGTTTTTCTTTGAGTAAAGTCTCGAGTTCGAGTCTTATAAATAGAGAAACAGGCACTGAGAGAATTTCCCCTTAATGGGGTTCAATGCGGTTCGATTTTAAATTAATCGGAATCAAATGTAGTTATTAGACACCAAGAAGTTAATACTAAAAATAAAAATAAAAATAAAGCGAGGGATTAAAATCTATAAATTTATTAAGATAAAAAATTAAAAGTAAATTTTTACCAAAATTACATGACAATGAATAAAAGACAAAATGGAAAACCAATTGCAAAGGCAAACAAAAGTTACAAAACCTTAAAAGTAAATAACTGCTCCCCCCCTTCCCCTTTGACTACTACTTTTGCTTTCGCAAGTGCCGCTTTGCTTTCGTTACGTGTCGAACTTTTCTGATGGTGCTTTCCATTTGTAATAATAAATTGATTAAAATTTAAAATTAATAATGTAATATAAATTATATTATTTAAAATATTAAAAAAATATATTTTATATTATTTAATATTAATTTTTTTATTTTTTAAATTTATAATATTATTTATATTAATTAATTTAATAATATAACTTTTCACATATCAATATTAAAATATATGTTAATTTTTATAAATTTTAATATAAATTAAGTAAAAAATATATTTATAAAGACATAAATTAAAAAAATATTTTTTTTAATACTATGTTTACAATTGGATAAAAACCTAATTTTAATAATTTATCTTAATAAATTTGTAAATTTTAACTTTTTAATTTATATTATGATATTTTTTATTTTTCATCTATACAAATTGACATAAATAATTCTTACCTAATGTGATGTTATAATGTTTGTCAATTGATAGTTAATATTTTGTTAACAATTAATTGATAGACTATTAATGGTGATAAGGACAAACTTAATAGAATATTAATAATTAACTGATAAACGTTATAAATTGATATTAAATAAGAGAATTATTTTTTTTTAATTTATAAAAATAAAAAATAAAAAATATTATAATATAAAATAAAATATTAAAATTTATAAATTTAGTAAGGTAAAGTGCACAACTACGTTTTTGCCCTCCAACCGCCCCCTCAAGCTCTGATATTTTTCTCTGATTGCGTGGCACATTTTTGACCTTAAAAAATCTAACACACAGTGTCTCCATCTCACGCGGTGATTGCGGCGAAGCAATGCAGGACGGTTCCGGGCTCACAATAGCAAACTTGCACGCAAGCTTCTGCCATATATACTAAGAATAGAAACGGATGTTTGCTTCTTTGATTCTACTAAATCAAGAAGAAGAAGAAGAAGAAGAAGAAGAAGATACGTAAACAACAATGTCAGTAATGAATTCCACTGCCATCACTCCTCAAGTAGCTGTGTCCTTCTCTGCAATCCCGCCTTCAAGTAATAATCTTTCCTTTTTGCTTCGGAGAAAC